AGAGGATGCTTCAAACCAGGAGCAGAGTTCAAGTTTTAGATAATGCCTTTAAAATATGTCTATTAATATGATCAGAAGATGAACCTCCGTGTCTTCTGGGCATCATTCTTCCAGAATGAAGTGTTTACCATTAACATGGACCATTAACTCAGACTTTGTGAGGTTTGTTCTGCAAATATTTCGGAGGAATTCATAACACTACGCGCCACAGGCCCAACCAAAATGGTCACTGTACACAATGTAACAAACATGATAGTGTTTCCAACAAAACTTTATACCTCTAAGCCAGGCACTTGGCCCATGGAGCCGTATGATCTGGTCCACGGGCTGCTGAACCAAACCCACACACCAGCCCTGGCCCTGGGCACTATATGCAGTGCATGGGCTCAACCCAGTGCCATGGAGTGCCCTGCCAGACTAGCTCTGTGCCGCACAGTGTTTGCAGCACACACCAGCCTCAGGGCTTGTTGCGTACATGGCATGCGGGGCTGGTACCAGGACAGCATGCAGAGCTGGGTCCAGCCTGAGCATCACAGGCAGCACAGACTCCAAGCTGGCCCCACATGCCCTGGGGTCTGACGCATGTTGGATGTGGGGCCAGGTGAATTTGACACTCCTGCTCTAAACAACCACTAACTGGCTTCACTGCTTTAAAATCTCTTGTGGAGTTGTACACCTTTATTTCAGTATCAAAAAACCTAAAGAATGTTTAAACCGTAGACCATTAAAGAGGAGAGGACCGGTTTCAGACAACATGAGAAAGAAGTCATATCAGCTTTGCTTTCTTCTCCACCTTAGCAGATTCATGACAACACTTGGCTCCACATCATTTCCTCACCTGCTGATTAGCACACACAAAGGATGGATAAACTCAATTTAAAACACCTGCAGCTTCTGTAGGATGAACCTGTAATTGAAGCCTACTACATTAAAGGACTGACTCAATAACTTAAGTGTTTAATTAACTCAGTAACAGAGCCGTTAAACTTGAACTGCTTGAAATTCACTGTTAACATGAAACAAAATAAGCATTACTTACTAGATTTGCTAAATCCAGAGATGCACTCTTCCAAAAATTCTAAGGTAAGGTGTGGCTCATTAGCTGCCAGGGTTTTACTAATAGACACAATAAAAAGGGTGTTGTTGGCAGGGATACAGAGACCTGAAGTTTCCAGTAACTGACCCTCAATCTTTAAATTAAAGGTACAGGTTAAGGCACACAGAAGATTATAGGCAGCGGACCTGCAACAAAACATAAATACTACATTTTAAAGTAGCTCTCTTATGAGTCTTAACATTTTGTACATAGTAACTACATTCAAATAATATAGGAGTGGTATTAACATTAACATTTAGGCTGGTTTACCACATAAGAAAATCAGTGTTTGGATCCTGAACTTAATTTTGTCCCTCTTAAACCTCTAGCGCAGCCTGTGGGCACTGTGGAGACAGGCTTCAGCATCTGGGAAAACGAATGAGCGCTCTCTCACTTGCATTCACCAGTCTCTGAGAAACTTAAAAAGCATCACTGAAGGGCTCCATGTTCCATTATTTTAAGATAAAGTCATTAAAATGACATGAAATATTTTTTTTTGGGGGGGGGGGGGGGGGGGG